TTTGTTGCCCTTACGAGTTCAAAGCTCTCTTTGTTTTTGCCGCTAATTGTTCCAAATAAAATTAAAATAAACCCCGCGCATTTATATACATGGGTGTTAAGTGGGCTGAGTTCTGAATAATTGACGAATACTAGGCTTAAAGAGAAGGCCGATCAACATATTTGTATTATTTATAGATATATATAGTTCATAATCAATCAATAGTTCCGTTGTATCACACTCTCAAAAGCTTCACCTTAATTGATCAAATCTTTCCTGGTTCCAATTTATATATGTATTTATAGTTCATAATCAATCAATAGTTCCTTTGTAGCACACTGACAAAAGCGTCTCCTTAGTTGATGAAATCTTTCATGATTCGAAGTCAGGCAGCAGCATAATAGTTGAATTGATGAAATCTTTCAATCAAAATCTCTGTGTATTTATATATTTATAGCTTGTAATCAACCATTAGCCCTGTTGTAGCACACTGGCAAAAGCTTCATCTAATTAGTGAAATCTTTTCGAATTTGAAACCCGGCAACAGAATATTTTTTTAATAATCGAATTGATGAAATCTTTCAATCAAAATATTAGTGTAGTTATATATATTTATAGTTCGTAGTTAACAAATAGCTTCGTTGTAGCACACTGGCAAAAGCTACATCTAATTTGTGAAATCTTTTCCGGTTTCGAAGCTCGGCAACGGAATATTTTTTAATAATCGAATTGATGAAATCTTTCAATCAAAATCTCTGTGTAGTTATATATAAATATAGTTCGTAATTAACAGATAACTCCGTTGTAGCACACTGGCAAAAGCTTCACCTAATTTGTGAAATCTGTCCGAGTTCGAATTTTTTTTAATAATTGAATTGATGAAATCTTTCAATCAAATTCTCAATGTATTTATATATATTTATAGTTTGTAATTAAAAAATAGTTCCTCCGTTATAGCACACTTGCAAAAGCTTCATCTAATGAGTAATTTACTCACAGGAAGATGGTTCTGAGACCCTAAGAGACAGAGAGAAAAAGAGATTTAGTGAGTAATTTAGCAAAAGCATTTTCAGCTTTAGAGAGAGAGAGAACGCACAGTTCTCGATGAAAGAGGGACAGATTTGTTGCCGTTACGAGTCCAAAGATCTCTTTGTTTTTCTCGCTAATTATTCCAAACTAGTATATCACCCGTGCTACGCACGGCCCGCACAGTATACATATAGCTTGCAATGTTATCTCTGGGTTAGTAAATAATAATATAGAAGGAAAATTAGTGTAAAAGTATTACTGTTTTGAAAAGTAAAATCACTTCATAGACTGCTTCATCTTATAATTACTTTTAAGGAAAAAAAAACAGTAATTAATTGGAAAGAAATCTAGTGTAAATATTTGTGACAGGGATATTGTAAATGACAATGACATTTGATACTTGGTTGAATTAGCCAGCTTTTGATGAGATAGAAACTCGTAAGGACTTCAACGACTCAGTTCGTTTTGCTTCTAAAATTGTTTCTTTCTTTTCGATACCTTGTGTTACATCTAACCACAGTAAAATTTTGTGTGGAAAGAAACAACATCAAGAAAAAGTGTTCTTCTGAAATACTAATAATTTACAGTAAAACTTGCTTTACAAAAAATTATTAAGCATACTGAATCTAATGGATATCCAAAAGACTGCTGCTTAGGAGCAAATTGTTGGAACTCTTCACTTCCATTAACGACTTTCTCAATTTAACAACACTTGCTTGGAATTCTTCTTTGCCTAGAATCACATCCATGAAATTCCACATTCCTCGATATGTTTTTCCTGTCTTTTCCCCACAAGTTACTCCGCTTTTATCTCAGCACGCATAGCTAATTTAGAAGTTCTAAACCTTCCGCTACCTTATTATCCACCATTGTAGTAACCAAAACTTGAATCTTTGTCTGTGGAATCACCTGTCAGTAGCATCAAATCACAGTTTTAGTTACACAACCAAAAAAATACAGGTTAAAGCGTAAAACACTTGATTTTGTTCCTTTTGATTGAATTAAAGAATTCAGCGGAACATGTTTGATTGAATTATGTTTTAAGGATTTCATAATTCAATCCCGAATCATGTGCAACCTAGCCTCACTTTGTTCCTTTTGATTGAATTAAGGAATTTACTTGCTAGAATTTGACTTTCATCTTTTCTAATAAGCTTATCGTATCTCTTACCAGCACCGGTAGATCCAACCTTTAAGAAAGATGGAAACTTTGTTTCTTAGACTGTTCATCTTAACACCTTATAGAATGTTGAGTGATTGTAAACACTTACCTCAGCTCCTTTTGCAGACGGCTTCAAAGACTGTTTTGCTAATCAATTCAATATTTCAAGGAGGTGAAACACAATGCTCAAATCTTCTCTTGATGATTCGTTAGTTACAAGCTTGCTCCCTTCTTGTCTGAGTTTCGACAACAGTTCAATAGGTTGTCCTGTTTCCTTAACAAAAACCCTTCTCTTCCACCTAAAATGTAAACACAACAAATCATATGACTAAAACAGCTATACTTACAATCATCATATATCTATAAAGATTCTCTTTCTTTACTTGATCAAATGTTGCTTGTCGATACTGGAACCGATGGTTCTGAACTTTTCCGGTGGTACTCCACATATCTCCAGGACGTCAAGCAAATTCCGGTGACTCATCTTTATTTATTAAAGATAGAAAAGGTAAAATGGTACACCTGCAAAATCAAAAGTGAAGATCAATTCGGTCATAAGTAACGCATGGTAAGAAACAGATGAGAGACCTAAGTAAAAAATAAAACTGAACAAGTAGTCATACGATTTTTGAAGCAGAAGATGAACGTTTTTTTTACTTACGCAGATCGCCGGAAGTTAAATCTTTCTTCTTCTCTAAATGTTCTTCCATTTCGATTCCAGGTTCTCTATAAACGACCCCAATTTTGAATTAGGGATTTCAAATT